TTATCCATCTCATAGGGTTATTATGAGGCTTAGTCAATACATGAAAAATGCACACAATAGCACCTGAAGGACAATAAATGTACAGTAAACATGGGTCACTACTTCTCCCCATAGGTGATGTATTCCAAATTTTTAGTTCACGGAGAACAATGTAATTACTTTGGAACTCTATAGAATGTTAGAGCTGGAAGAAATCTTAGGAAGCACTTCTAGTCCAACTCTCTCATTGATTAATTGGTTGTCAAGGAGGACCAGAACTAAATGGCCTGACCAGGATTAATATCCAGGCCGCCTAATTTCTTTTCTTTTTTGAGACAGAGTCTCACTCTGTTATCCCAGGCTGGAATGCAGTGGTGCTATCACGGCTCACTGCAACCTCCACCTCCCAGGTTCAAGCAATTCTCCTGCCTCAGCCTCCCGAGTAGCTAGGATTACAGGTGTGTGCCACCATGCCTGGCTAATTTTTGTATTCTTTAAGTAGAGATGGTGTTTCGCCATGTTGGTCAGGCTGGTCTCAAACTCCTGACCTCAGGTGATCCAACTGCCTCAGGCTCCCAAAGTGCTGGGATAACAGGCGTGCGCCACCATGCCTGGCCTGGGTCTTCTAATTTCTATTTAGTGCTAAGTCCACATCACTGTGCTGCTGCTGCTTAATGAAAACAGTAGAGATCATTCAGTCTTTCCTCCCTGCAAACCACCAGGCCATCTTCCAGAAAGAGCTAGAGCTAAACATCTGGGAAGAAATCCATCTCATTAAGACTTTCAGCAACCATTGCCCCAGGTAGCACTTTTCTTGGGAGGTAGCGGAAGTGGGGTATAATCTATTTCCCAAGAATCCATACCCAAGAGATACATGAAACAAAAGTTTGAAATAGTATGAATTCCTTTTAGGGATTATACTGGTTAATATTTATTAAATACTTTCTAAGTGTTTGACACAATATTAAGTGCCTTTTGTTTTTTGATTGAATCCTCCCAACCCAGCCCCACTGCCCTAAGCTGCCCTTCTATGTGCTCCTGCAGCTACTTAGTATTTCCCTGCTCAAAGTACATATCACGCTGCCATGTAACTGTCTGCTTACTTGTCTTGGTATCTTACCAGACTGTAAGCTGAAAAAAGGACAGGAATCACAATTATCATGTTTATCATTCATTTCCTCTTTCAACAAATATTCCTGAGGATGAACAAGACAGAAATAGTCCTAGTTCACTGTGGCAGATATGCCCTTCTTACAATATGACCTCAACATACCTCCCACTGGGGGTGAGGGTGCGATCCTAATATCCCATTCCCTTGAATCTGCCCCTACAGGGTACAGTGGAAGTGATGCTATGTGCCTTGTAAGGCTAGATGACAAAAATGCCATGCATTTCCACCTTGTTCTCTTATGGCACTCACTCTTGGAATCCAGCCTCCCATAAAGCTACTGTTTGAGGAAACCCATAGTAGCCTATGCAGAAAGATCAGATGGAGAGGTAACCAGTTTAGCCGAGGCCCCAGACATCATAGAACAGGGACAAGCCTTTCCCAGTGTGCCTTGAATTCCTTACTCACACAATTGTGAGCATAATAAAATGATTTCTTCATGCCCACTAAATTTTGGGGTGATTTATTACACAACAATGGTAACAGGAACAACCACACAAAGCTTAATATTGAACAAGGAATAAAGATACAAAATACCTGACTCCAAGGTATTACCTACACCTAACACAGTAACTCGAACAGAGTAAGTTATTTGTTGAGTGTCTGAAGTAGTTATGATGCTCATTTTGCAGATGAGGAACTGAGGCTTTGAGAGTTAAGAAACTTGCCCAAGGCCACTCAGCTAGTGAGTGGCAGAACAAATTAAAACTCAGATCTAGGCCTGGTGCGGTGGCTCACGCCTATAATCCCAATACTTTGGGAGGCCCAGGAGGGAGGATCACCTGAGGTCAGGAGTTTGAGACCAGCCTGGCCAACATGGTGAAACTCCATCTCTACTAAAAATACAAAAAAATACAAAAAAAAAAAAAAAAAAAATTAGCTCGGCATAGTGGCACACGCCTGTAGTTCCAGCTACTCAGGAGGCTGAGGCAGGAGAATCACTTGAACCCAGGAGGCAGAGGTTGCAGTGAGCTGAGATAGCACCACTGCACTCCAGCCTGGGTGGCAGAGCAAGACTCTATCTCAAAAACAAAAGCAAGCAAACAGAAAAAACAACAAAGGAAAAACTCAGATCTAAACTCACGTATCTAACACTCTACTCTTCCGTTACTCTCAGTACTTACAATTTTACTGTAAACATACAGTAGTCTGGCTGGGTGCAGTGGCTCACACCTGTAATCCCAGCACTTTGGGAGGCCGAGGCGGGCAGATCATGAGGTCAGTAGTTCAAGACCTGGCCAACATAGTGAAACCCCGTCTCTAGTAAAAATACAAAAAATTAGCCAGGCATGGTGGTGGACACCTGTAATCCCAGCTACTCGGGAGGCTGAGGCAGGAGAATCGCTTGAACCCAGGAGGCGGAGGTTGCAGTAAGCTGAGATCATGCCATTGGACTCCAGCCCAGGCAACAGTGCGAGACTCTGTCTAAAAAACAAAACAACAAAACAAACAAACAAAAAAGTAGTCTGTTTTAAAATGGGATTGTCAGTATTTAAAACATTCTGGCCTAACAGGATTTGTCATGCAGTTTCATCACTGAGATGGAAACCCACATATCACATTATCCAAAAAGCTTCTCCTGACCTTCATAACTCAAGTGATGCCAGCTTCCCCAACCTCCCCAGTGTTTCTACTTCCTATTCCATCACAGTCTTGTTGTTTTCCCAGCACTTGTTCCTAGCTGAAACTGTCTTATTAATTTGTTCATGAGTCTACTCTGTCTCTCTGACATGAATATAAGCTCCACGAGAGTAGGAACCTTGTCTGTCCTGTTTACAGCTATATCCCTAGTGCCTAGAACAGTGCCTGAAATACAGGAGGTGATCAAAAATTATTTATGGAATGAAGGAATCATTGCATTCAGGCAAAATGAATGCCCACTCAATCTTATTACTCACCAATTGATGTGAAAATAGAGAGGATAAGAGAAAACAAAAACAGAAGGATTGCAGCAGAATCATTCCATACAGTAAGGTCAGTGGGAAAAAAATGGAAGAGGGGTTGGGATCCATGCTACAATTCATCTACTTAGAAAACCATAAACCCTGAGTTCACAGACTGTCAATCCAACTTTTAGCTAAATAAGGGCTGATGAGGAGAAAGGTGTTAAAACTTAGAATGGAGATGCAGGTAATGGATGGAGTAGGGGGCCACACCTCCTAACTTCCATTCATAACCACCAATCGCTCATTCACAAAAACACTTCGCTGAACCACAGCAAGGACAATTGTTGGGGATCCTTAAACAGCAGAACTTCTCCCTTCACCCTGCCCTTCTTATGCACTAGATCCAGCTACCTGGGATGCAGGTGCTGTCTCCCAAAGGCAAGCAAGTGGCAGTAAGCTAGCTCTTCACGGAAGAGGCAAGGAGAGAAATCTTCAGACCTAGGACAGGGTTCTCTGCATATGCAGGTCCCCAACGGCTCTATTTCTCCCGGGTGGGAAGGTGACCGCTCCTCAGGACCTCCCAAGTGCTAGGCACTATGCCGGGCTCTTAAACATGCTTTTCTTAATTTACCGGCCATTCCTTCCTCCCAACCCAGTAATTTAGAGAGGCCTCAAGTAGAACTTCTTCATTCCCCAGACCCGCTACTCCCTACCCCAAGAAATCTTCAAACTCCAGGAGTGATTGGGGAAGATAAAAAGAAATCTGGCGTGGTCTAAGAGATAGAACGGGAGGGGAACGGTGTTAGGGCAAGAAGAGGTTATACTGGGCTGGGGCCCAGGATCAGTAAAGATAAGAACGCAGTCTGACCCTTTCCAAGCCCATTATGTCCATCAGAGGAGATGACGAGGAGCAGGAAACTGAAGCCCAGCAAACAGGTGGCCCCGAGACGAGGCCGCGTCTCCATGGCAGTAGGTGCGCGGGGCCACGGGGCTGAGCGGACGGAGGGCCGGAGTCCCAGCAGACGGTCCACACCGTTCGCCGAGCGCGGCTCAGCACAACCCCTTTCCTTCCCAGATTTTTTTTTTTTTCAAACTCTGGAGGAAGTGATGTTAGACGGATGTGGGTGGTGCCTCCGGGGTCCGGTTTGGGATGGAGTGAGTTTAAAGGTGCAGGTCACGTAGAAGGTACGAGAGCTGTTCTCGAGCGCGAGTTGCTTTCCAAGGATTCTGGGTGTCCAGGTCCCGGGACGGAGCGGGAAAATGTGGGCCAAGATAGTAAGGGCGGGGGAGAGGTTCGGGAGAACCGTTGCTGCTCGCGTTCGCCACCAGTCCAGCCCCTCCCCCCAAGAACCGCTGCACTTCCTAGTCAAACGCAAATTATTGATTCGTGAGGTCAGTCGCTCCCAACAGTGGACGGATTGCCCACTGGCCTCGGATTCTCCTTCCCCCTCCACAAGTAAAGACTGGACGACTGGATTTCATTGTTAGGTTCCTGCCAGGGTCTCCGAGGAGACCTGGCAAGCCTGTTCTGCGGTGCGTGGGCTCGTGCCGTGCAGGCATGCACTTTCCCGCTGGAGAAGCTCTGTACCTTATTTTTCCTTGCAACCGCAAATCTTCTACTCAGGGATGATGCAACCAACTGATGCAAGCTCCGAGAAAACCAAACTTGGGGCCTCTTATTGCGAAACTGACTTAGGTGGACTTAGGACACCAGGACAGAAGTCACTGCAGGCTAAAGTGTAAAGCTTCTTCTGGTTATTTTTCTTGTAGGTTGAGGATTTCTTCCCAATTTTTCCCCTCCGCTGTATAACAGACAGGTGAAAATGTCCGGTCTTTTTCTTCCTGGTACCAGTTGAGTCCTAAAGTCCGTACTTAATGCATAGCGAAAATGCAACCTAACAAAAGTACACACCCAAACAAAAACATACCGACCGCCCTTTTATTAGGTTCCCTAAAATTGTAGGCAGGGACACAATGGAACGCTCGGGAGACTGCAAGCCCCAGGATGCTGCGCGGCCACCTGCACCTGCCGCCACTAGCACCAGAGGGATGCGCAAAGCAGGCAGGGCGTTGGAGTTCAGATGTGCGCTCCCGGGATAGGCTGCCCCGGAGAGGGAGAGGCGGGGTCGGGTGTGTCACGTGGACCTGCTCCCGCCGCCGCTGCCGCCGCCGCCGTCGTCTTTCTCTGTCTCGGCTGAGGCAGCCATCTTGCTGTTGCCGCGTGCTGGTGTTGGAGGACCCTCCCTGCTTCAGGTGAGACCCCCGGCGGTCCCGCCACTCCACGGCCATAGGCCGCTGCGCACGGTCTCCCCCCGCCCTCTCCTTTCGACACCCGCCAACCGCTCAGGCTGCCACTTCCGCCGTGGTGCGGCGAGCGGGGGCGGAGGCGGCTGGCTTGGCCTGTCGGTTACCGGCGGCGCAGCTGGGGGTCGGCACCTGTGGGAAGGTCCCCAGCACCACCGCCCCCTGTGGGAGCGAGCGGGCCCGCGCTGTTGCCGCCGAGATCCCGTCCCAGGAGGCGGGTGGACGCCCCTCCTCTGTCCCATTACTCCTCATTCACAACAGCAGTGTTGTGTGCTTGGGGCTTTATATATGCTCTCTGTTGTCATCTCATTTGATGCTCTCAGCCTACAGATAGGGACGCTGAGGTTACCACTTCCCGCCCTCAAGTCCAAGGAACCGAACTCAGTTGCAGCGCTCTTCACCTTGTAATGGCAATGTTTGTTTACAAGTCGGCGTCCCTTGCCTATCTTTATAACCCCCTCTCACTGCCTGCTGACTGACCGACAGGCTGAGTGCTGCACAGCTAGTGAATGGCGGTTTCAACTTCCGTTCCCACGTTCTTGCAGTTTACCATAGTTGTCCCCTCGGGAGTGGTAACAATAGTTACCAGTAACTGTGTATCTTCTGTGAACCATTCCCTGTGGTTGATAATGTTTTAACCCTCAAAACAACCCTGTGAAGTACCTGGTGTTATACTTTTGCAAATGCAGGAGGAAAACAAGTTCAGAGAAGAAAAATACCTTTCCCAAGTGGTAGAACCTTGGTCTTTCTGATTCCAAAGCCTGCGCTCGTCTTAGAGAAACCCTGCATAAAAAAAGTCAGGACTCAAGGTTGCAATTATTTTTATCTCTGTGTAAACATGATGTATGTGAAAGTGCCTACCACAATGCTTCTAACTTAGGCACTTAATAGATATAGATAAACCTGTTTACACCCTTTCTTGAGTCCTTGAGAACAGTGCTAAAAGATCTTGGGATCCCCAAGGAAGAACTCATCAATCATGTGGCTTTAGGAAGTTACTTCTCCCCTTTGGGCCTAGGAAGGGACTTCTCCCTTCTGAGCCCTCATTTCCTAATCTATTAAGATGGGAGGGAGGGAACTGTTTTGTTTGTAATTTACACTTTGCTGCTGCTAGCAGGTGTTGAGATGACATCACAGACAGGAATGATGGGTGCAATAAAGTAAAGGTTGATTGAGAACAGGGAATTAAACCAGGTGATCTTGGAGGTCTACTCCAGATTCTGAGCTTGACATCTCATAGACAGTCCAGTCCTCTTTCCTGCTTGAATTCCACACACCACAGCTTGCTAAGAAACAAAAGACCACTCTTCTTCCTCCCCTACTGCCTTGAGCTCTCAGTCTCCCTAAAATCCTTTTTCTCTGAGATACTCCTTAGGAACAAAATTTCTCAATTCTGTTGTCCTGACCACCTGGAATGGAATCTGTTCTTTCATCTATACCTTGATTTGAAGAGTGAATTTTGTTCTTGCTTTTATTTCAAACAAGTCAAGACTTTGTCTTGGCATCCCAACTTCTGTCTCTTCTCTTGGGAATTGTTAATTCAAAATGCAAAAGAATCCCAAAGGGTTTACCCAGTATCTAGGTCTAATGTTTTTCCTTAGCCCCCTTTTTTTTTTGCAATAAATTCCTTAGGCTCTTTGTTAGTTCACTATACTCTCATGGCCACATTCCTTTGAGAAAAGTGAATGTTGATCGTTTTCTGTGGATATTTGAACATAGGAATTGGGATTTCAGTCATCAAATTTAAGTCTATGGCAGAGCTAAGATTGGCACACAGTTAAGACTTCTTGTTTTGAACTCTAAACACACTTCCTCCTATAAAAGTGTTTTTAGCTGCTTCAGCATTGTGATACAGTGCTGAGCAGAGTGAAGAATCATAAATTCTAGATATTATTTGGGGTCTGGACATTAGCCTTAAAGAAGAGATACATACAGGTTAGTGCCTAAGTACAGTGTCAAAGTACAAAGTGGTTAGTAATTATATAGTCTTCGATGCTCCTTTATTAATCTCTCAAATGAAGCAAACAGTATCTTTTTCATGGGAATGATGACTATACAGGGTTTAGAGAATTGGCCAAGGAAGGTTTGGTAACAGCCTAGTCCTTTATTCCCTCCTCCACATCTCAGTAATGATTTGTTGATCCACAGAACAAGTAAAACAAGACTTTTATTTTGGTGGTGGGGTTTTTTTTTTTTTTTTTTTTTTGAGATGGAGTTTCACTCTTGTTGCTCAGGCTAGAGTGCAATGGCACAATCTCAGCTCACCACAACCTCCACCTCCCGAGTTCAAGCGATTCTCCTGCCTCAGCCTCCCGAGTAGCTGGGATTACAGGCATGTGCCACCATGCCTGGCTAATTCTGTATTTTTAGTAGAGACAGGGTTTCTCCATGTTGGTCAGGCTGGTCTCAAACTCCCGACCTCAGGTGATCCACTTCGGCCTCCCAAAGTGCTGGGATTATAGGCGTGAGCCATCATGCCGGGCCTTGATTGGCTTTTCTTTGTTTATGTAATGTGGAATGTTATGACCCATTGTAAACTTAAAAATGTTTTTTTCTTAGTGGGAATTCACTGACCAGACTAGATTCATGATGTTAGAATCTTCAAAATGAAGATTACCTTTAAAAAGCTTATTTTAGGAGTCTCCTCTCCCCCCCAACATTTATTACTGTAGCAAAGATATGTTTTTGTTAAATTGTGCAATGAAGCATTTTACCCTGTAGGCAAGAATATCTTGACAAGTATAACATACTGTATCAGTGCAGGGTATTGAATGAATTCTGGAGAATGCTGCAGAAGCACCAAACGTCTGAAAACCTGGTTCTCTTTCCCCATTATTAACATACCATCTGACCTTGAATAGAGGATGTGACTACTTGATATCTTGACAGCTAGACAGCCTTTTGTTGAATTTCTTCTTTGTTCAGCTTTTTTTTTCTTTTATCATCTTTATGGTTTATAAGAAATACAGAATGTGATTTGGGAGGGAAAAAAATCTACTTGAAGATTTTGCTAATAACATTTGGTAACAGCTCTCTGCTGTAAAAATCTTTGGGGGAAAAAGCTGGCTTGCCTACAGAGATTTCATAATTGGTTAGGCTTAACTGAATGCCAGAGGATTGAATCATGTTTTAAGGAGGGATCTTTGAATAGGTGACTTTGAATCCCATTCTATTTTATTTGTATATTTGATTCCCTCATGGTAATTTAATTTTGATTTTTAAAAATACCTGGTTTATGAAGCTAGAACAAGTTATTAATGTTTATTAAGAATATAGACAGTATTAACATGGTCATGGTGTTGATGCATACTACAAGCTCAGTGAACCAGAAGGTACTGTTGCATAAACAGTTTGTTGATTTCGGTAAAAGAGTGACTTTAACAAATCTATTTTTCCCCCCCTAGATTTACCAACAGCATGAATCAAGAAAAGTTAGCCAAACTTCAGGCTCAGGTCCGGATAGGGGGAAAGGTGAGTGTGGCATAAGAAAAACTGATAGGAGAATGTATGTAACCAGATAGTGTTATTATTTCAGATTTGTGGTCATTGAAAATCTAAAATCTTTTCAATAATCAAGATCAAACCACATTCGAATTTGAAAATAACTTGTCTGGATCTAAAATAGGTAACTAGAACACTCTTCTCTCTGATGATGCAATGGAAATAGCCACATTTGTTTGAATCCTAACTCTTAACATCTGCTAGTTATATGATGTGAACAAGTTATCCAACCTTGTTAAGCTTCCGCTTTCTTACCTGCAAAATAGAAATAATCCTACATAAGGTATTTAAAGATTAGGGTAATATTTATAAAACACCTAACATGGTGTCTAGCACAGAATAGATGCTTAATAAATGATAGCTGTTATAGTTAGACTCACTTGCAGGGCATAGCAGATGTTAGGGTTACTTCATCTTGACTGGATATTACCTACTTGTACAGAGGTTTACCTGGAGATGCTTAAGTTGATTATATATTTTGTTCATTGCTAGGTTTTCCTCACAAATTCTTACCTGTTCTTCCATGTTGGTGAATATGAATGTGAGCTTTCTTATTCCCTGTACTTTTTAAAGCCTAAGAAGAGCTAGTTGTGAACAACAAAAGTCTTTGATTCTCTTCAGCTGTGGCACCAGGCTCAAGGAGAATATTCTACCCATATCTCTGCCCAGTACAATCTTTGCAAAAGGGAAAGAAAGAGTAGTACTTACCTCAGACCTGAAGTGGTAGGCAGGACACTGCTTTTTGTAGTGGGTCCCAGTATGTCATTTACACGGACAATAACCACAGCTTCTGGGGATGAGCACAAGGGAAGGGAAGAAGAGCCAGTACTTTCTCCTTCTTCCACAGTGATACAGTTATATGAGTCTGGAGTTAGATTAACACAGTCATGTAACCACAGTAGTCACATTGTACCATCAAGTGTGATGTGATGTGCCAATGCAAAAACTAGGGATAGTCAAGAACCATATAATATACCTAGAAGAGCGAGCTTGATGTAGCACATGGCCATTATGTATTTTAAAACTGCGGTTGGTACATTCAATTTAGCTATTGTATATTGAGCACCTACTATGTGCCAGGCACATAGAAGATAAACAAGATCACAACTCTGCTTGGGAGAGAGATGCTCACAATTAAAATGGAGAATAGTGAGTGTTATAATGAAGTACAAGGTGCTTTTGCCTAGAGGAGACAAGGAAGTCATTACTGAGCTCTTATTTAAAGGATAAACAAGAATTTATCACTAGACAGAAAGGTAATGGCTGGCAGAAATGTAATGGACAGTGGCTCACGCCTGTAATCCCAGCACTTTGAGGGGCTGAGGTGGGTGGATCACTGGAGGTCAGGAGTTCAAGACCAGCTAGCCAACATGGTAAAACCCTGTCTCTACTAAAAGTACAAAAATTAGCCAGGTGTGGCAGAGCACACCTGTAGTCCCAGCTACTCAGGAGGCTGGGGTAGGAGAATCACTTGAACCCGGGAGGTGGAAGTTGCGGTGAGCCAAGATCGCACCACTGCACTCCAGCCTGGGCAACAGAGCAAGACTCCATCTCAAAAAAAAAAAAAGAGGGTTCATGGAGGTAGAGTAAAAAGGGTTGTTATTTCCATACTTGCAAAGGCACATACCGTGCTAAGATAACACGGTACTTAATGGAATGGCTTGCTTTAATTTGGTACAGCTATTCTTTTTTTTTTTTTTTGAGAGGGAGTTTCGGTCTTATTGCCCAGGCTGGAGTGCGATGGCACGATCTCGGCTCACTGCAACCTCTGCTCCCAGGTTCAAGCGATTCTCCTGCCGCAGCCTCCCAGGTAGCTGGATTACAGGCATGTGCCACCATGCCCAGCTGAATTTTTGTATTTTTAGTAGAGATAGAGATGGGGTGTCTTCATGTTGGTCAGGATGATCTTGAACTCCTGACCGCAGGTGATCTGCCCATCTTGGCCTCCCAAAATACTGGGATTACAGGTGTGAGCCACCACGCTCAGACCTTTTGTTTGTTTGTTTGTTTTTGAGACGGAGTCTCTGTTGCCCAGGCTGGAGTGCAGTGGCGCAATCTCAGCTCACTGCAACCTCTGCCTCTCAGCTTCATGCCATTCTCCTGCCTCAGCCTCCATATAGGTGCCTGCCACCACGCCCAGCTAATTTTTTGTATTTTTTTTAGTAGAGACAGGGTTTCACCGTGTTAGCCAGGATGGTCTCAGTCTCCTGACCTCGTGATCCGCCTGCCTCAGCCTTTTTTTTTTTTTTTTTTTTTTTCGAGATGGCCAGGCTGGAGTTCAGTGGTGTGATCTTGGCTCACTGCAACCTCCGCCTCCTGGGTTCAAGCGATTCTCCTGCCTCAGCCTCCTGAGTAGATGGGATTACAGGCATGTGCTACTACGCCTGGCTAATTTTTGTATTTTTAGTAGAGACGGGGTTTCACCATGTTGGTCAGGCTTGTCTCAAACTCCTGACCTTCTGGTCTGCCTGCCTCGGCTTCCCAAAGTGCTAGGATTACAGGCGTGAGCCACCGCGCCTGGCCAGTACAGCTATTCTTTAGAGTGTAATGGATAGAGAATGGCGGGAAATGAAATGACCAGGTTTTTGGGATTCCATCATACTTTTATATGCCATACCAAGGAGCTTGGAGTTTTATCCTGTAGGCAGTGGGCAGCTATTAAAGGATTTTAAGAAGGAAATGACTGCCATTTTAGAAACGTAACTGCTGGCGTTGTGGAAAACGGAACGAAATGGAAGTTTGGCATGTAGGAGAACAATTGAGAGGCTATTGCTATAGTATAAGGCAGCAGTCCCCAATCTTTTTGGCACCAGGGACTGGTTTCATGGAAGACAGTTTTTCCACGGATGGGGGGATGATGGTTTTGGGATAAAGCTGTTGCACCTCAGGTCATCAGGCATTAGTTAGATTCTCATAAGGAGTGCGCAACCTAGATTCCTGGCATACACAGTTCACAACAGGGTTCTCGCTCCTGTGAGAATCTCATGCTGCCGCTGATCTAACTGGTGGTGGAGCTCAAGCAGTAATGCTCGCTCATACCCCCCGCCCCACCTCCTGCTGTGCTGCCGTGTTCCTAACAGGTCACAGACTGGTACCGGTCAGTGGCCTGGCGGTTGGGGACCTCTATTATATGGGATACAAATTTAGGAGTTGGAATTGACACAATTTAGTGACTGATGGGATATGGGGGGTGAAGGGCATGCAGAAGAATCTAGGATAACCCACAGATTCATGATTTTAGAGACTTGAGTATATGGTGGTACCACCAGCTACAAAAGTTAGGAAATATAGAAAGAATAGATTGGTAGACCGATAAGCTTTAAGACATGTTGAATTTGAGGTACCTGAGGATCATTCGAGTTGAGGTATTCACCAAGCAATTGAGCTATCCCTGAGTCAGGAATGCTTCACAAGTGAGTGCCTATGTAAATAGTCCTTCAGCAACTAGATTTCAAGGCATCCTTTGCCGTCACATCTCTCCTCCACTCCCACCAGAATTGCTGAGACTGAAGCCCCTACCTTCCCTCTATAAGGCTGATTCCCTGAGTACTACTATAGGAGCTGCCCAGAGATTGTAACCACTATTCCATTCTCCTTACTCCTACCAGTTTTAGAAATATTTCACCCTCAAGACTTAATAAACTGATCCAGGAATTTAATCCATTATTTTAGATAGTATTTCAATGGAAAAATGTATTTAGAGTTTCACAGTATCAATTTAGAAATGAACTTTTTCTTTCTCAGTAACTAGCATAATTTTCAACCTGTTTGCTCAGGCCAAGATTCTAAGCATCATCCAAATGTCCTTTTTTTCTCGTATCCCACATGTAATCCATCAGCAAAGTCATGTGGTCTCTTGTAAGAATCTAACCCCTCACCATCTTCACTGCCATATTCCTCATCTTTTGCCAGGGTGGCTACAGGAGCCTGCTGACTGGTCTCATTATAATCCATTTTCCACATAGCAAATTCAGTCATAAATAATCAGATCAAGTCACTCCCATGCTTGAAACCTTTCAATGGCTTCCCATTGCAATCAGAATGAAATCTAGCTCCTGCCCCTGGCATTCTAGGCTACATAATCTGGTCCTTGCCTATCTTTCTGATTTCATACTCCTCCTCCGTTCCCATTGTTCACTCTACTCTAGCCATACTGGCCCATTTTCTCTCTTCTAGAAAGGACAAGTTCAACCTTGTTTCATTCTGCTTGGAACATTCTTGCCCTAGTTATGGGTCTCAATTCTTATGTTACCTCTTCAAAGAGGGCTTTCCTGGACTTTCTAATGAAGTAGTGCTGTACTCCTACTTAGTCATTCTTCCTGTGCTCTAGTTTTGTTTTTTTTCTTAATAGTACTTAATCCCATTTGAAATTGTCTAATTTGTTTATTTATTGATTTTTTCCTCCTACTGTAATGTAGGTATTAATTTTCAGTTATGTCCTAATTCCCCAAATTTCAGAATATCTTTAGACTATTGGCAGGGGGTGGTAGTTACTCTAAGAAATGATAATGTTTTAAAATTGTTATAAAGTACTTAAATTGTCTTGAAGTTATACATTATGTTTTATTAGCAAACGGTATCTTGTGTTGAAATGATAAAGGCTGGATATTAGATAAGAATAATTCAACCTGAGAAAGCTGATAAGGAAAAAAAAGAACTGGCTAGAACTGACCTTTAAAAATCTGCATTAGGCTGACAGTCACAACCTCTGAGCAGTCTTATAATATTAATCATTATTATTTTGTCCATTTTTTAATGTGGGTTTTAGTTAGATTATTGTGATATATAAGATGTGATTGCAGTTGCCAGATGCCAGGCATGCTAACACTTCTGTTTGGTTATTTTTCAGGGTACAGCTCGCAGAAAGAAGAAGGTGGTACACAGAACAGCTACAGCTGATGACAAAAAGCTTCAGAGTTCTCTAAAAAAACTGGCTGTGAATAATATAGCTGGTATTGAAGAGGTATGATCACTTTGCAAGTTGTTAAATTATGTGGGTACATGCACAAATAATTGTCTAGACCTTTCAGATGTAAAATATCAGCTTAGAAAAATCTTTGATATTGTCACTGATGTGTTTGAAGGACTGTGGCACTTTGATTTTTGTATGAAATTAAATGATGCTCAAAAAAATAATTTTAGTAGACAGTGAAGGATTTTCATCATACTTTTCAGGCTCAAGATATTTGCATACATGACAACATTATGTAACTGCTTTTGATTATTAATATAAAATATGTCTCCAATAATATAGAAATAAACCCCAACATTTCTTCAGATGAGATAGACTTTTTTTTTTTTTTTTTTTTTTTTATTTATTTATTTTTTTTGAGACGGAGTCTCGCTCTGTCGCCCAGGCTGGAATGCGGTGGCGCGATCTCCGCTCACTGCAAGCTCCGCCTCCCGGGTTCACGCCATTCTCCTGCCTCAGCCTCCTGAGTAGCTGGGACTACAGGTGCCCGCCACCGCGCCCGGCTAATTTTTGTATTTTTAGTAGAGACGGGGTTTCACCGTGGTCTCGATCTCCTGACCTTGTGATCTGCCCGCCTCGGCCTCCCAAAGTGCTGGGATTACAGGCGTGAGCCACCGCGCCCGGCCTTTTTTTTATTTTTTATTTTTTGAGATGGAGTTTTGCTCTGTCACCCAGGCTGGAGTGCAGTGGCATGATCTTGGCTCACTGCAACCTCCTCCTCCCAGGTTCAAATGATTCTCCTGCCTCAGCCTCTTGAGTAGCTGGGACTATAGGTGCGTGCCACCATGTCTGGCTGATTTTTGTATTTTTAGTAGAAATGGGGTTTCACCATGCTGGCCAGGCTGGTCCCAAACTCCTGACCTTGTGATCCGCCCGCCTCGGCCTCCCAAAGTGCTTGGATTACAGGCGTGAACCACCGCGCCTGGCCAGACTTTTTTTATTATTTAAGAAATTGGACTCATGGCTCAATAGCGGTAGACTTTTTTACCCTACTGCACCTTTATATTCTACAGAGTCTCGTTAGTTACTACCTCAGCCAAAAGGCTTTAGCAATAGCTTTACATGGGTTAGATTTCTTAGTAAAACTGTTTCAAAAATTGTTTAAAATGTGTAAGTCAGCTGGGTGCAGTGGCTCACTCCTGTAATCCCAACACTTTGGGAGGCTGAGGCAGGCGGATCGCCTGAATTCAGGAGTTCAAGACCAGCCTGGCCAACATGGTGAAACCCCATCTCTACTAAAAATACAAAAATTAGCTAGGTGTGGTGGCACATACCTGTAATCCCAGCTACTCGGGAGGCTGAGGCAAGAGAATCACTTGAACCCATGAAGCAGAGGTTGTGGTAAGCCAAGATTGTGCCATTGCACTTCAGCCTGGGTGACAGAGTGAGCATCCGTCTCAAAAAAAAAAAAAAAAAAAATTGTCACTTTATTGTATTTTGATGACACTATTTTTCTCAAATGTGAGACCAAAGATTAATGTCATTCCAAAAGATGCTTAATAAATAACAACAACTACTACTTGGGATTTTACCACCTAGATTCACTTCTGCCTGATGATTCCATTTGTTTTTTTGTTTTTTAAGACAGAATCTCACTCTCTCCCAGACTGGAGTGCAGTGGCTCACTCTCTCCCAGACTGGAGTGCAGTGGCATGATCTCTGCTCACTGCAACCTCCGCCTTCTGGACTCAAGCAACTCTCCTGCCTCAGTCTTCTGAGTAGCTGGGATTACAGGCGCCCACCACCACGTCCAGCTAATTTTTTTTTTGTATTTTTAGTAGAGACAGTGTTTCACTATGTTGGCCAGGCTGGTTTCAAACTCCTGACCTCAAATGATCTGCCCACGTTGGCCTCCCAAAGTGCTCGGATTACAGGTGTGAGCCACCGCACCCAGCCAATTCCATCTGTGATAGTAACCAAAGTTTATGCTTTCACTGCCGTAAGTTAAATTTAATCGTTACTGTGTGTGGTACCACCTCACAATTTTAAATAGATGACTAGTGTACATGTGCTATAAAACATGCATCAGAAATAATGTGGAGGTAGGGGCCAGGCACGGTTGCTCACACTTGTAATCCCAGCACTTTGGGAGACCAAGGCGGGCAGATCTTCTGAGGTCAGGAGTTTGAGACCAGCCTGGCCAACCTGGTGAGATCTGTCTCTACTAAATATACAAAAATTAGCCAGGCATAGTAGTGCGCGCCTGTAATCCCAGCTATTTGGGAGGCTGAGGCAGGAGAATGGCTTGAACCCAGGAGGCAGAGGTTGCAGTGAGTAGAGATCATGTGAGACTCTGTCTCAAAAAAAAAAAAAAAGAAAAGAAACAGTGTGGGGGTAGGGATCATTAATAAAGAAATGGCAAAGAAAAGGTAGTGGAATGGCAAAATGCCACATGTTCCTTCCACCTTGCATATATAAATGAATAAAATTAACACATCATTTAAATCTGTTTTGTACGTTGAAAATCATTGTACTGATAAAATAGTAGAAAATGTAAGCCACATGCGTACTTTTCCTTTCAGCTTGATGTGACTGTGCCTTCTTACTCCTAGATACAGATTAGAGCTTCATTTGTAAGACCTGAAATTATATTTAGACATTATTTTTTTTGAGTTATTGAAAGCTTTTATATATTTTGATGGACCTGAAATATTTTGAGAGAGACCATTCTCTCAATCTTAGATAAATATTAGAAAAAACAAATCTAAGTTCCTTCAAACCTCTTTTTAAAAATCTAAAACTTGGTAAAAATGAGTAAGTTGCAGTAATACACATGAATTCTGATAATATTAAACCTAACCTACTTGTAAATGTTTATACAATTTTATATCTTTGCCTACCTTTCTACCCTTCAACTCCTCTGCCCCCCAACCTCAGCATTATTGACATTTTGAACTAGATAATTCTTTGCTGTGAGAGCTGTCCTGTGCATCATAGGGTACTTAGCAGCATCCCTGGCCTTCACCCACTAGATGCCAGTAACACCCCTACACTCCTAGTTGTGGCGATCAAAAAATCTCTCTAGATATTGCAATATGTACCTTGCAGGCAAAGGGCACCTTTAGTTGAGAAACATTTCCATTTTTTTTTTGGAGACAGAGTCTGGCTCTGTCGCCCAGGCTGGAGTGCAGTGGCCAGATCTCAGCTCACTGCAAGCTCCGCCTCCTGGGTTTACGCCATTCTCCTGCCTCAGCCTCCCAAGTAGCTGGGACTACAGGTGGCCGCCACCTCGCCCAGCTAGTTTTTTGTATTTTTTTAGTAGAGACGGGGTTTCACCGTGTTATCCAGGATGGTCTCAATCTCCTGACCTCGTGATCCACCCGTCTCGGCCTCCCAAAGTGCTGGGATTACAGGCTTGAGCCACTGCGCCCGGCCAGAGAAACACTTCTTTAGAGAGGAAAAAAATTTTATTTATACCTTCCTTGCAGTATAGATTTAACTGTGTAGTATCTCCAAGGACATGTTTTTCTAAAGTTTTTGTTCAGATCTGGAAGACTTTATGGCTCTCATAATTAGTAAAACTTTTAGTGTAGGGGCAGCATTGATTTTATAAGTGTTTTACATTGAAATAAGGAACGAGTTAGTAATTTTTGATCTCTTCAGAATATAATCAAACATATAATACTGTGCTGAGGTCATGGTGTTGCTGTAATTGAAATCATCATAACAAAGTACTTAATGATAGTCAACATTTATTAAATATCTGTGTGCCAAGCATTTTGCTAAGGACTTACTAGACAGTGATACAAGATATTTTGCATGGCCTCTGTCTTTTGTAGCTTATGATCTGGTGGGAAAACTAATTAGACATCTAGACAAATCAATATGTATTATATCCTATTTCAGCTTCACAATATCCCTTTGAGTTGGTTGTCGTTGGTTACAGATGAGAGCGCTGAGGCTTAGAGAATTAGGTGCCTACCTAAGATCACATAGCCTAGTAAGTGCTAGAATTCCAGGTTTGAACTAAGGTGTGTGAAAACCAGAGTTCATACTATTCATTAATTTATCTTGCTTTTGCTCTTTTCATTTATACTTGATTATATTCATTCTTGGCCTTTTCATTTCCTCCCGTCCCTCCTCCCCCATCAAAAAAAAGGGAAAGTAAGAGGTTTACCTGCCTTATATAGGTACTGAGCACCTACCATGCAGAATTCATTACTTAAACCATTATCAAAAAGAAATCCCCATCAATATTTCCAAGGACATTGCTGTTTCTCCTTTTTCGAGTCTTAATATAGGCATTATTTCCTCCCAGAGGCCTTCTGGTAGCACCTGTACAGCATTTGTGCAGAGAAGGGTTAGGTGCCTTGCCTGTGTGCCTCCACAATGCCCTGTATCTACTTTTTATTATAGCACTTACTAAATTATATTACAAATTCTTTTTTGTTAATATTGCCACTGCAATTTTTTTGAGGAGTTATACACCTCAAAACATCACACAGAGAATTAATGCCACATAATAGATGTGTGGCATGTGTGTACACTGTAGCAGCTTCTCTGCCTTCCCCCATCCTGGTGTTGTCCTCTAACCCTCACAGGATAGTCGTACAGGGAAATCGCACAAAGTAATAATACAAGGTGGCAACCATAAAATTTCTGAATGTTTGAACCTAAGATGGAGAGGAATTTTACTTTTTGTTCTTCTTTCCCTCTTTCTAAGGTTGATTTTTTGAGAACCAAGATATTTGTTACTTTATATAACCCTTAACAAATCTGAAATATTCCTCTTTGGGAACATCTAGTATACTATATATAACCTGGCTTGCTCATACAGTTGGGTTAAAAACAGCTTCTTGAGAAGGAAAAAAGAACCTATTGCATTAAATGTATACATGAAAAAATGGATATGATTTTCAGAAACACTCAGATATAAACATATATATATGTCTAAGAATAGGAAACACATTAATTAAAATTTTGTTATTTTTGCTTTGGGATGTTTAAAACTTGTTACAAAGTGTGAACTGGGGAATATACTGCCTTTTTGG